TCGGCATTACACCACTGGCCTCTGCACTCTGCATTGTTACTGATCTCTGTTCTCTGTGTCACACCACTGACCTGGCGGAGTTAAGGGCGGGGCACGGTAGGGGTCAGGTGGGGCGACTCTTAAGGCCTGGCTAGTAGCTCAGGACTTGAAATTTTGAGCCCTGATCTAGATCATGCACTGGAGATAGGGGGATGTTCTTACCAGTTTATCATGTGTGATTCAGTTGGCATAACGTCGTATGACCCCAGCTTCACATGACATAATAGCATACGATGTGTAAGAGGTGAAGGAAGAAAGGGAATAGAGCAGAGGGAGGAGGAGAGGGAGAAGGTAAAGGAAGAGGATAGAGGGAAGAAGAGATGAAGGAGGAGGAAGAGAAAGAAGAGGTCACATTGGCAAGGGTCGCCACCTACTACCTCCATGTGGCAGCACTTCCACCTCTGCTTTTAGACTTGCGTGCAATTTTTTTTTTGGACAGTCCTTATTCAGGGAAAGGTAAGCAGCCTATGACCATTGGATTCTACACTTAATTTTCACTGCCGTCTGCCTTCCCCCTGCATTGTGAATGGGCAGGCAGCCTATGGCAGTAGGTTTCCCTCCTCAGCTATGCCCCCAGTACCCTCACTATAATTAAACAAATAGTGAAAAAGAAATTCTGGCTGCTTAGTGCCTAGGAGGAACATTGTGCTGTCAAAGCAAAGAAATTGCAGGCACGCGTCTCTGCTCTGTGGTGCCCGACGACAACATCAATAACTAAGTAGTTATAGGAGAACTATGGAATCAGGGCTTTTCCCCATAGTTCTCCTAAGGGTAACGGGAGGACACAAACTAGCGTCCTCCCCTCACCCAAAGCTCAGTATAGCAGTATACTGAGATGCCGCAGCCGGGATGGATCCCGTCTGGATTACTGTCTGGATCCCTCCAGCTGCGTGAGTGACAGCTGGCTCTGCTTATCCAGAGGCAGAGCCAGCTGTACCCGCCCCCTCCCTGTCCGTTTCGCCAGTCAGCGCTGGAGGATCGGACAGGGGAGGGGGAATCCAGGGAGCCGTGAGTGACAGTCACGGCTCTCTGCAGGGACAGGATCGAGAAGTGATATGTTCGCTCACTTCCCAATCTATTGAGCCGACCTATGACAGTTTCATTGTCACACATCGGCTACAACTATGAGGCTGAGTGATTTTCACTCGCCTCATAGTTCTCCTTTAAGAAAAACAATAAAAAATTATAAATATGGAAATAAAAATGAACAAAAAAAACAAAAAAATAACAAGTAAAAAAAAAGAAAAAGAAATGGTGGTTGGGGATCTCCCACTCTGGGTCCATCCAGGCCAGGAAATTCCTGTTATATTACATGGGAGGTGTTGCATGGGCAGAAGTTGCAGCGGCCCCTTATACAGGTGAAACTCAAATAATTAGAATATCGTGCAAAAGTTCATTTATTTCACTAATGCAACTTAAAAGGTGAAACTAATATATGAGATAGACTCATTACATGCGAAGCAAGATAGTTCAAGCCGTGATTTGTCATTATTGTGATGATTATGGCTTACAGCTCATGAAAACCCCAAATCCACAATCTCAGAAAATTAGAATATTGTGAAAAGGTGCAATATTCTAGGCTCAAAGTGTCCCACTCTAATCAGCTAATTAAGCCATAACACCTGCAAAGGGTTCTTGAGCCTTCAAATGGTCTCTCAGTCTGGTTCAGTAATCACAATCATGGGAAAGACTGCTGACCTGACAGTTGTGCAGAAAACCATCATTGACACCCTCCATAAGGAGGGAAAGTCTCAAAAGGTAATTGCAAAAGAAGTTGGATGTTCCCAAAGTGCTGTATCAAAGCACATCAATAGAAAGTTATGTGGAAGGGAAAAGTGTGGAAGAAAAAGGTGCACAAGCAGCAGGGATGACCTCAGCCTGGAGAGGAGTGTCACCATGTGGCAGTTGCTGGTGTATATTAGTGGGTGTGGATTTGATACTCCCACATCCAGCTGGGGTTACAGTATACCCTGTGGACCAATTTGCACAAGCAGATACTTCTTTAGGGATCTTTGTCTTTTTGTGGAGATTTCAAACTACAGTTAACATTATTATAGAAGTGTTAGTAGCAACAACTTCCGGCATACTGTTTAAACATGGAACATGCAACTTGAGTCACCAATAAAAAATACACAAGTGCTTTATTACAAACTGGAGCATTTATGTTATGCACAATCAGAAAAAGAAAACACAAAAACTCTTTAACAATGTTTAAAAGTGGTTTGGCATTAAAAAAAAATAATAATAATCAGAAACACTAATCACTAATCATATATAAAGGCACATTTGTGATTATGAATAAGGTAGAAATTATTATGTGGAAACTTATGTTACTTTCCTTTAACCTCAGTAAATGTTTAATAAAAATGCAGGTTTCTTGTGAAACTCTAGTTATATCACTCATTTGTATAAGTAACATTCAGAGAAATAAAGCCTAGGATGGCATTTGCTTTGCATTTGCAAAGTTGTTCTGTGGTTTGTACTACAGCACAGGTCCCTGAAAGGATTAAAGGGCCCATTCTGGTAACCCATGTGGGTTCTCACAAGGGGAATCTAAGAAAAATGCATTGTAGATCTTTGCCATTTGGCAGTAAAAAAAAAAAGCCAATTCTTTGCCTTCCTCCACTACTTGTCTAGGCTCATTGAAGTAAGAGCAGGTCCCAACCAATGAATTTAACTATAGCATTTTGAATGTTGTAGATATACTATACATTCCAAAGTGATACACCATAAATAATCTTCTTATTGTGAACTAAAGCTGATTTAAATCAGTATGTGTTTATGTTTCTAACATTATTGTTTCTATGTATAGTTTGTTATTATAGATGTACTGTATATAGAGTCACCATATCTTCTCTGCTTCCTGCTGTGGTAAGCTACACAACAACTGTGCCTTACTGTTCATCTCTCTCAATTCAAGTCTCAGTCAGGTCTGACTTATGGAAAACAGTACACACTTTGTGCCAGAGATCTTAATTTCAGCAGCTATTAATCAAGGAGCTTGAATTGCAGTGAAATACTGATTATCTAGTGGCTAAGCTGTACATCTGTACGACAGATATTTCCTTTAACTGTTTATTGGTTATAACAGTGCTGAAGATACATTGCTGAGTCACAGTTTGTAATGTCCAGAAGACAGGTTACGAATTTCCACCTAGAAAGAGCTTATATGATCAGAAAGGATCCCCAGGAAAATTTTTTGGTGGAGATGGAGACCAGGAGCTACTCTGGTAGGAAAATGTGCATATGTGTCGAGCAACAGAGGAATTTTTCTACAGGTCCTCATAGTCAATGTACCCAAGGCTGGACTCAAACTATCTTAGGCTGTCACTCTTTAACCCCAGTTAATTGGCTTGCTCTTGGTATTACACTAACAATATCAGAAGGCACATTCAGACAGAAAAGCTTTGTTTGGCAGGTTGGCTACTTTGCTTTCATACACATAGAACTGATGATTGAGGTAAACTGTTGTTTTATTCTGTTTGCAGTTCGATTCTTGGTGTACAGACTCAAATTTAAGCATACAGTACACTATTCTTCTAAAAAAAAAAAATACACAGACTGTACAAGGACAGCTAAATTGAGGACTGCATTTGAAGGGCGGCGGTCTGGAACCTTTTATTATATGTGGGAATGCACTACTGACAATTAGCAACTTGATGAGTAAGGTGACTGTGTGTCACCCCTGGTAGCTATGCCACCCTATGCCAAGGCCTATGTTGGTCAGGCAGAAAATGAGCCCTGAATGTACCACACTGGCAGTGATATTTCTTGCATATTACATATCAAGTGGGCTTAATGTGTGTATCAAAATATGTCAATTTCATATGTAATTTCATGATAAGTTAAATATTTTTGTAGAAAATATTAAAAAATGTTGTAGAATTTCGATACAAAGCTACGAGTCATTGGGAGACAGCCTAAAGATGCTGCAGAATTGCCATACTGGCAGTGTTCACAGCATGGAATGCATGATATTTGACATAAGAACACGAGTTTAGTGCTGGGCCTGATTTATGGTATATTCAATATGCTAGTATTAATTTATAACAATGGAAGTGGCAGAATCATTTTGTAAACAATAAAACCACATAGAACAGTAGGGAGCTTGGTTCTTTAGTATTACATTGTACATTATATATATATTTAAAACATTTACATAAAAACAATCAAAGTTAGTGTATACTTGTTTTATTAAAGACATAAATTACTAAAATATAGAATTGGTGCTGGAAAATATATTTATGATAAGTAGGTTTTGTATTTGGCAAATTTATTTTTATAATTATAATGTGTGTAGGGTTTTATTGCTGAGAAAAAAAACAGATAGAAAGGAGCAATTTAATGTACAAGACCTGAATCACATTGTGCTTTTTTGTTGGAAGCAGATATTTGCAAAGCTCTCCCATATCTTCACTCTGGATATCCCAAAGTAAGTATGACTGAGCACTATAAAGATGTATTAAAGTAAAAAGACTACAGGGTTCTGGGACCCTTCCCATGCAGTTATATTACATTTCTTCATTCATTTTTATTCAAATTTTTTAATTAAATGAACGAGGTTCAGTAGATCGAGAAGTGAGCGAACACATACCGGCGTTCGCTCACTTCTCGATCCTGTCATAGCTCTCTGCCGTGACAGGGGAGGGGCTGGATCCCCCCCTCCCCGCACCGATCCGCCAGCACTGACTGGCAGATCGGACAGGGGAGGGGGCGGGTACAGCTGGCTCTGCCTCTAGATAGATGCCGCAGCTGGGCGGATCCAGACATAATTGTCGGGATCCGCTTCAGCTTCTCAGTATACTGCGAGCAGTAGCTCACAGTTTACTCTGGCGTCTCAGTATACCGCGAGCTGTAGCTTGCGGTATACTGAGCTTAGGGTGACGGGAGGACGCTAGTTTGTGTCCTCCCGTTACCCTAAGGAGAACTATGGCGAAAAGCCTTAACCTCATAGTTCTCCTTTAATGTCTTCTGAAATTAAAATGGTCTTGAAGCCACAGAAGGAGGATATGGTGGAGCTCAGCCAATGATAAAGAAAAGCTTAATGCATGGACGTGGGACATCCCACTTTTTGGAACACTTCCTAAAACACCCACCAGATACAGAAGGGTTCGTATGCAACCCATGGGCATAGTGTGTCTGGGTTATCATTAGAACAGGACCACACTGTATTTTTTATTCTGATAAAAAACTAAAAGATTAAAAAATAAACCTGTCAACGCAGTTTCAGAAATCAACTAATAAAAATAACAGCGAGAAAGCTCGATCTGGAACTTTAAACTAATAAGAATTTGTTCACACACAAAGAGAAATGTAAGTTTGAGAAAAAACTATTTGGTAGTATCTGTTTCCAATGCACTTACATGCTATCGCTGCTGTTTTAAACTAAAACACAATGGCAGTAGCTTTAAAAAGGTACTTCTTGGTTTAAACTTCCAGCTACAAATTATTTCTGTTTTACTTTATACAGAGAGTGGACATACATCAGTTTAAAAAAAAAAAATTATACAAGAATTTAAAAATACTCATATCTATTAAACAGAAACTAAAATATAATACAAGAGTAGTAGGAGGAGTCAACAGCATAAGGTACTGCAAATCTCCTAGCACCTTATGAATTAAGAAATCAGCTTCTGCTGCTGTAGAGAATCAGTGCATTCTTTTATTTTATACATTTTATTTAATTTTAAAGTGCCATAAAGGAATCTGATTGTCTTTTCTCTGTCAGTAGGCAAGGACCAGTAAAACAGAGCAAAGGATGTGCTTTCCAATAGTGCACTTTACTTTTTTCTTGTTGTACAATAGTGAGGTACATGAATATAGTATTTGGCTTTTCAGGTTAGAGAAATAGCACCATATTTGAATAGTTTGATGATATTAAGTCCTTCTCATGCATACTTGACAGCGGCTGACATGTGTGCGGAGATCTCCAGCTTTCAGGGTTGAAGGTGTAGGTTTTCTAGGAATATAAAACAAATTTGAACACATTAGTCAATAGAAATATTTGCTTGCAACTTCGATTACAAAGGGATATTCTAAATGCTATATAATGCAGCTCATCACTATAGGACAATTCATTTGTAATTGTTAGAGTAAGAACATAGTAGAGATCCTTGATTGTAACTGGTCCTATACAAAAAAGTCAAATAGAGAGTCCCACCGCACTCCTGAGCGAGAAGCCCCATATATTGTGGGGGGCTGCTGAAGTGGCCGTGGATGGCGCCACCTAATACTTGCGAAATCCTTTTACATATTCTAGCAGGTCATATCACCATACGTGGCCACGCGTGAAATGACCTGCTAGAATCAATAAAAGGATTTAATTTTGACGAAAACTTGGAGTACTGGTGACCATTGTTTTCTGCTTTACAAAGGAGTGTCTGTGTTGGTTTCTGAATCAAATATTGAACACTTAGATCATTCTTCTATCATCTGTCATCTATGAGAGGCAGACTACTTATACAGTTTGTGAATTGTCTAGTACATTCTAGTTTGGATACATTTAGCAACACTAGTCAAATTTTATCTGATACGAAGTCCATACATTATAGTTCGGTGCATAATTGTGTCAATATTGCTTGGCTCATAAGATTATATTACTGGGTTGAGGTCAGTCACCTATCAGCCTGCCTGCCCCTGAAGAGCTTCCAGAATCTCTGTCTCAGTGTGTCTCCTGCCCCCTAGGCACACCAGCTTCAAAACAGCAGGCTAGCATTTTGCCTGGGCTTTGGGGTGCTTGGGGCGGACTTGTGGTACTGAGGAGTCACCAAATGAGATGATTGAGGAGAAGAAAGGAGAGGTGACTGGTCTGTCACCTTCACCATGATGCAGGACACGGGGTGGCACCACCAACTCCAACGGTGTGCTCTGTCCTGCATCCTTACCAATTGCCAGCAAATTTGCCCAGTGGGCTGTGAAGGAGATGTACAGTCCCTACTCATGCTTGCTGGATCACATGCCTATGATTATGTGGATCCTGCTGCTGACCACATAGTCTAGTGAGAGCTCAGGCATAGGATTCTGGGCATACAAATAGTGGTTGGGTATCTGCCATTGTGGTGCAGCAATGCCCTAAACGTGTGGAAGGAGGCTGACTCAACTAACAGGAATAGGAGCAGCTGTAAAGCCAACAGTTTTGCTAAGCTGGCATTGAAACGCTGGGCATGGGGGTGATTAGGGGAATCTTTTTGTCTATTCCAGCACCTGCAGAAGAGACAACTGCCTGGTCAAGGATGTCGCTGGAGACGGTAAGGTTCGGAGATTTACAGTAAGCTTTAAGCCTACACTTTGCCATTCTCAGTGTGGCTCCATACTGCCGCTCTACTCACTCAATTAAGGAGCATTTTTTGGGAGGTGAAATTTGAGGAATGAGGAGGAGTAGGAGGGCAGGCCTTTTGCTGCTAACAGGTATAATTGAGGAACTGCTCACACAGAGCTCTTTTGGTGCATGTGTTTTCTCACACATGTAATAGCCAAATAGCTGTTAATTTTAACACAATTAAAAGCTCAATGCTGCAGGCAGAGGCTGCAGATTACAATGGTGCTGTCAGCAGCACATACATTAAAAAGAGGTTTACACTGAAGAGCTCTTTTAATTTTCTTTCAATGTGGGGTTTTGTTTTATTCACATCCAAGACTACCTAAGAAAGTCAAGTAGTAATGTAAAATAAAAAAAACAAATATTGATCCATAACATCACATAAAGCTTAAAGACATTTCCCAAGCATGCATTTGAAGGGATTGGTGATTTTCCCATGTCACCCTTGAAAGTACATAAATCATGAGAACCACCTACCAGCTGTACAATATTTTTTTATATTTATTTTTATATTTATTTTTGCATTGGTACATGTCTCCCAGAGCAGTTTAAATTTGTACATTTTTGATGGGTTATGATGGGTTCGTGAGTAGCCCGCAAACTTCATCCAAGCACATGCACCCATGCCTTTTTGCTATTACAATTGAAGCAATATGTAATTAGCTTGTAGTGGTTAGTCACATTCTAATTAACTGAAGATGTTTCACTGCTCATCTAAGCAGCTTCTTCAAGAAGCTGCTTGGATGAGCAGTAAAACATATGCAGTATTGCAGAACAAGTCCAGTTGAGTGTGACTATGACTAACAACTACTAACTATATGATGACCTGGATAAATGAGAACCTTTACAGACATATTGCTATTAGATTTTCCCATGGTGTGAGAATTAGGTGAGTGTTAGATTTTCTTAAAACTCAACCTTTCAAAAACAGCTCATAATATGTCCTCCTGCTCATGCACCTTCCCCCAACTTTTCCCTTCAGATTGATAACACAACTATCCATCCCTCCCCCCATGCCAAGGTCCTAGGTCTCATCCTTGACTCGGACCTAACCTTTCTTCCCCACATCAAATCACTATCCAAATCCTGCCGCCTTCACCTTCGTAACATCTCCAAAATACGCCCCTTCCTCACCAAAGAAACCGCAAAATTACCAATCCACTCACTTGTTATATCTCGTCTTGACTATTGCAACTCCCTCGTCATTGGCCTACCTCTACACAGCCTATCCCCCTTCAATCTATCATAAATGCTGCTGCTAGACTCATTCACCTAACCAACTGCTCAGTGTCTGCAACCCCCCTCTGTCAATCCTTACACTGGCGTCCAATAGCCCAAAGGATAAAATTCAAAATATTAACAACCACTTACAAAGCCACCCACAACTCTGGCCCTGGCTATATCTCCAACCTGGTCTGAAAGTATATCACCCTAACCGTCCCCTCCGCTCTTCAAAAGAGCTCCTGCTTTCCAGCTCCCTCATCAACTCCTCCCATGCTCGCCTCCAGGACTTCACTAGAGTCTCTCCCATCCTATGGAACTCTCTACCCCAACCTGTCCGTCTATCTCCCACTCTGACTGCCTTTAGGCGATCCCTTAAAACTAATCTCTTCAGGGAAGCCTATCCCACCTCAACCTAGCCACTGAACTATAACTTTCTCAAACAATTCACCCCCACACAGATACCTCCTCATGTATCACTTGCCCCTCCCTTTTAGATTGTAAGCCCTCACGGGCACGGCCCTCCTCACCATCTTGTCTTGAATTGTATTGTGATTTGTAATGTCTTCCTTATATTGTAAAGCGCTGCGCAAATTGTTGGCACTATATAAATCCTGTATAATAATAATAATAATGGTGTCTAATTATTGCCTAAGAAAGATTATTTTTTACCTTTTCTAATAACTAACCTACTGTATGTTACCCAATAGCTTTTGAGGAAGATAGTATATTTTTTTTATATCTGCATGCTTCACATGATACAGATACTTTGTGTGGCTGTCAAACATCAGTAGCAATCAAATCTGGTCATCACCATGGGTGGCAAAACTCCAATGCAGACTGGGCAACCCCCAGCCAGTCTGCTCGTGGAGGGACAGCTTTTAGAAGGGGCTTCCACAAACTATCAACATCCTGCTTATTATTCATTTATAGTTTTAAGGTATGTAACATACAATTTCCTGACAAATCATGGACTGTAACTCACTTAAACATTTCATCCCTCTCGATTGTAGCCAGCCAAAAGCTGTATGTATTGGCATAGTAGTTGCAGGTTCCTCGTCCATGGCACTCAATAAATGGTGCACTACGGAATTCCTCTAGACAGGAGCCTGGAGATGCCAAAGCTTGGCCAGAACCTTCAGCACCAGCGCTGGTTTGCTAGTTTCAAAAGATAAGTTGCTTGTTAGGAAAGTAACACAGTAAGAACATTTACAATGCAGTTCCATATGTAAAATCACAAAACTCACCATTACAAATGAATATCCAATCCACAATGAAATCCACCCATCTGGACATTGAGGGATCTGAATTGTTTGACTATGAACTGCCATCACCATGGCAGGTGCTTCACAAACACTGCATCTATATTATTAAATGGAGAACCAAACGTATGTCATTTTGTTTACAAATAATACCCAAAGTACCAAAACTATCAATTGTCATGCTGTTGTCTTTTTGTATGTTGTTAAGCAACTGAAACTGTAAGAACATACAAGATATTTTACATGCCAGCCGCCCATTTGTATGTTCATCAGTAGATTTCAATCCATCTATTATCCTTCCAAAGCTATAAAATTCACTCACAGAAGAGCCATACAGATTTTCTGCTAGAGTTTGAAAGGTAACACTGTGATCCGTTTGATGTTTTTGCAGCAATTCTTTTTTTAAATGTGGGTAAGAGATGCCCAGAGCTGCCTAGCTACCATTGTGCAGGAAATGTAAGCACTACAGGAGAGCTCAGTTGCAAAGAATGAAAACATGTCAAGGTAATTTAAGACTGTAAGTACCATTATATTCAACACCGGCAAATCACAGCCAGTACTGAGCAGCCATACTGACTTTACATTTTAATACTGTCTATCTATCTATCTATCTATCTATCTATCTATCTATCTATCTATCTATCTATCTATCTATCTATTTATCTATCTTTCCTATCTATTTATCTATCTATCTGAATTAAAGTGTCTATATAATGAACAGAGTAGTGAAATTAAATAAGTATAGATTTTCTTGATGTGCTAAATGTACCTGGCCAGTGTTTTATCCTCTCCATCAAAGCACTTTGCTAACACTTAATCCCTCCAACCCCAAATATAACACTTTACTAGACCCCTTGAGTGAGGCTAACACTAATTTAAACCCCTACACTAAACTCTAATGTTAACCTCTATTCTGCATGCTCACTGTATCCTGTCCTGGAAGACTGTGAATTAGAAGCAAGCAGTCCTGTGCCAAATCAGGTCGTACCAGGAACCCAGCATCTTCAGAGAAGTATATGAGTGTATTTATCTGTGCAGACTTGCATAAAGGGCAATTAATCCAAAATAAAACAGCAATTTGCCTTTTTTTAATTTCTACCAATAGAAAACAGCAAAGAGTACTACAGTACAAAAGATGGCATACTATTTCCATAAATTTTAAATATTACAATTGCATATAATTTTGTTACATTTTAGATCCTTCTCAGATCGCCCCCTAGCTATAAAATGTGTAAAGGTCTACTTACCTGCTAATGAAAGGCTTGATTTCGTCCCCTGTGATAGGAGCCATGCTCATTGGCATTGGTTCAGGTGTTGAGAGCCAATAGGAATAATCATTTCTTGATGCGAAGTTGCACACATTATTAATGTTGCAGAACAGGAAAGGCATTGTGCTGAATTTACGTAGGCAGCTTCCAGCAGCACCTTGAAATCAAACAACTGCATTATTACAGTGAAAGGGTACATATTGTGTATTTTCAGTGACCACTGAGTTATCATTTCAGTGTTTCAGTCATTTTTATGTGTCACATTTTTATATTCTTGACTTCTTGGCTTTTATTATTTTTTTTAGTTATAGAAATGTGTAGACCAACAAACAGAGAGATTTTACTGGCTAAGTGCAATTACTAATTATTTGTACTAACAACAGTTGAGATATCAGCCACCCAAGGAGTGTATTGCTTTCAATGTGTCAGAAAACTCATAGACTTACAATGTAAGAAGCAGCATAGCACAACCAGGAAAATATTTTTCAAACATTAAGAGCTAGTGTACACCATAACTGCATCAGAACTGTGTCTATCTGCGCAGCTGCAGTGTGATGTGTTTTTTTAGCTGAAATGGGCTTTCAGGGGCAGTCCAGTGTGTTTGCATTTGTTTGTATGTGTTTTGATGCGTCACGTTGCACTCAGGTGCAGATAAAATGTGGCAAGCAGGATTTTTTCTGCCTGCATCGGAACTGACAGCACTGGTGTAAACAGAGCACCAGAAATCCCAGGAAAGCATTGTGACGCGATTTTGATGCAACTGCCAAACTGAACGGACTGTATCACTACTGCATCTGGTTTGGAACTAGCCTTAACTCATATTAACATAAATATATTTACATCAAAATGATCTCTTTTACATTTTCATGTTTACCTAAAAACACTACATATTCCCTTTATGTGAAATGCCAGAAACAGCCACTGCTCCAAGCTTGCTCCCATGATGGACTATAATCTCACTTTTAGTTTACCCATTTGTATTGATTTAACCCCTGAGTTAAGTGTCACTTTAAGCCATGTCATTACAAGCTGCAGTTTGTTTGTTCAATAACACACATGAACCACATTTTATCCAGGACAGTGGCAATACAGTGGCATATAGAAACTTTAGACAGTGACCCTGGTTTACAAAAAGAATAGAGTATGTTCATTTTCAAAGTGAATATATACTTTGCAAAGTGAATTTTCACTTACCTTAGTGAATGAGGTGAAGCTAAGTGAGAATTCATTTTGTAAAGAATAGCCAATTGTGTGCAAGGAAAAAAACATTTGCAAAGAGAAAATTCACATAGCTTAGTGAATGAGGTGAGGTTGTGCTGACTTCAATCATTCAAAAAAATCCTGTTTTTTCTTTGCACATGTAAATGTAATTGGTATTCCTTGCAAGGTGAATTTCCACTTTATTTCACCTCCTTCAAGATATGTGAAAAGTAACTCTGCAGCAGGGAAATTAGCTTTGAAAGTGAACATACTTTGCTCTTTTAGTAAATCAATCCCTCCACTGTTGATATCTACCCTGTTTCCCTGAAAATAAGACCTACCCTGAAAATAAGACCTAGTACTATTTTTGGGAATTGCTAAAATATAAGACCTACCCCGAAAATAAGACCTAGTTGTGGCCATTGCCAGGGCTGGTGGTGGCATAAGGGGGAACCTGAAGAGCCGTGAGAGAGAATGGAAAAGTATGGGGTGCCAATGAATGGAAAGTATGGCACCCCTGATTGCCTTGATCACCCCATTCTTAACTTTGACATTTTGGATTATTTAATTTGGATGTGCATTAACGTTGGATTGTTATACATTAAAAAAAAAAAAGAACTACCCTGAAAATAAGACCTAGTGGTTTTTTTGTGAGCCAAAAAAAAATATAAGACAGTGTCTTATTTTCGGGGAAACACGGTAACAACTATACTATGTTACATAAATACTATATGAATACTCAGAGCTAGTTAGCTATATTCCAGTGTAATTTTAATTTGGGAAGTGCCACTATTTTATGTCATGATGGCTCTTTTAATAATTTTTCTTTCATGTAAACGATAATAGTGTTCCTGAGGCCATTGAATGAAGCTGAACATGACAGGTTAAATTGCATATTAAGCCAAAACTGCATAGCATGGGGAAAAATTAGAATCCCTGTTAAGTGCTATCCTGGCATCCGACTGAGACATTTCACCTCACTTTTTGCGCTGGTGACAATATTTTCAGCAAATAGTAATGAGGGAAAATATCAACACAGACAGAAATAAAAAAAAAAAGCCTGTTCACAAAGCTGAGCAGTTGAAGCTCAAATTACACACACAGCTAAATGAGTGAGAGAAATGACTTATCCTCTATCCCAGAGCGTCTGATTAAGAGGGCAGAGTCCCCTTGACATGTTATACCACGTTCTATGCATTTGATATTCACTCTTTTAAGCTGCAATTTCTATTCAAATGCATTGTGTCTTGCTCTGTACAGCTCTGTACAAACCTTCAGTTAGAGGAAAAATTTAAAGAAGGAAAGGTTACTGCTGAGCTGTATATTTTTATATTTGTAACAAGGACACAGGCAGTAAAAAAAAAAACGCTGGCAGGAGTTTTAGCCTTACCTTACACTACTGAGAAAAAAGTTTATTTTTTCAGCAAAGCAGCCTGCCTGATAAACATGTAAAAAGCAGCTTAGAGTAAATCACACCAATCTCACCTAGGTCTTGACCATGTGCTCTTTCATTTCCCTGTACATAGAGAAGTGAGTATCCGGTGTATACTGGGACTGTGCCCAGAGGACAAGATGGCTCCTCAGGTGCCTGGCTGTGTCTTGTAACCAGGAATCCATGAGCCATTGACGGAAGTCCAGGTAAACCAATGGGTCCAGGTAAACCATCTGAACCAGGTGGGCCAGGATACCCCCTTGGACCTAATAGCATATAAAGAAAATGCATTTGTGTATTTGCAGCAAATGTATTTGGAAAATGCTTCATTTAGTATTTGCCATTTTTTTTTATAATTCATTATTTTTAAGATATCATACCTGTTGGCCCAGAGAGACCGAATTCTCCTTTTTGCCCGGGGAAACCATCCATTCCTGACACTCCAGGTAGTCCAGGCAGTCCTACAGCACCAATATCACCTACAAAGGGAATAAAGCATTAGTATTTGTTAAACCGGGCAGATTAGTTATTTGTAATTAGCCTAGTTGATTTAGTTAATATTCCAACCTTGCTCTCCCTTAGGACCGTGATATCCAGGAAATCCTTTAGGGCCAGAGGGGCCTGATGGTCCTGGAGGGCCAGGTTCTCCCTTAATTATTTGAAGTTGACCTGCGGGGCCTGGATGACCTTGTGTTCCTAATAAAAATAGAAAAGATCATCAAAAAAACAAATTTGTTAAACAATTTCAGTGATTTATAACTTCAAACGCCCTCAGTAATTCTACACAGCTCAGAAATCTTAAATGAATGAAGAAATCTAGAGTTGCTGGGAAACGTTTTATACCACATGAAGTCTATTAGTCAATGTATAAAAACACAGAAACATAACAATTGTATTAAAAGACCAGATACCACAGATAGTAAGCCTGTTTTAACAGTTTCAAATGCATAAAAAACATAAGCGTTACCTTTATGCTTCTTGAATCACAGCCAAGGCAACCTTGTGACTGCATTTGCCTAATGATTTTAAGTCACTAAATGAGAAGGGGGGGGGCGGTTTGCTTTTACGTAAAAAATAATCTA